TTTGGCTTTTCACTGCAGGGAAGTTAAATAAAAGCTTGTAAAAAAGAGTGAATGCACTTCACATTAGCACTTGTTTTTCTTTTGACATCACAATTTATAACTAAAATTTTATTTTATATTTTTCAAGAAATTGCTTAAAATCCTCAAACGGTTAAGAGACACTGGAGACAAACCTAGTAATACGTGTCTCAACAACCTTCCCATCACAAAGCCGCTTTAGCTCTTCAGGTCTTTGACCAACAAACGAAAAAATAACTCCTCTCTCAAGGGAGAGGAGGCTAAGCTAGTGGTTGGTGTTCTAACGGGACATTACCTGCTGGCCTTTGAACTGGCTCTAATCAATGATAAGATCTGTAGGTGATTCATAACGAAAGAGAAGACAGTGGAGCATATCCTCCGCGATTGACCTGCCCTTAGCAAATAATGGATTAGTCTCCGGCAACAGGCTTTCTGCCTTATCTGGAAGCCGCCGCAAGGAACGGTACAACAAGCTGTTCCAGTTTGCCAAAAGGACAAACCGATCAGACTTGAAAGCAAGATTTGACGTGTCTGAAAGGGGTCAAGAATGCTGGGAGCATAGCTCTTACACCTTTCCGCCGAATCTCTATCTCTCTTCAGATGGTTCTGCGAGACACCTAGTCCTTAAGCCCATAATAAACTCTTCCCTTCCCTCTTTATCGCCAACCGGACTAAGCTATATACAAGAATGTATGTATTTCGAAAGCGTTTTTATAATTATCCATTGTCCATAACTATTATTTTGAGACATACATATATGTATATTAGGGTGATCCAAATAAACTAACCTAACGAATTTATGGCCTTTAAAGGACCTATTTTCTGAGAAGAAAATTCTCCCTCTCGGAAAATTTTTTATTCGAATTTTGAGTGGTGTTGGTTGTTTTAGAGACGATTAAGAGTATGATATTGCTGAACGAGGTATAGCATTGATAGACAGTTATAATCGAACTTTGACGAAAGACGAAGAACGAAAGCAATTTCTTTTGCAAGTAGTGCAACTACATCGCCAACTAAATTCTAATTGCAATAAATGACATTTTATTAATAATTAAAAAAAAATATTAATGTTTAAAAATGCACTGAAATATAAATAACTGGATGAAAACTCTTTCTTCTCTGACAACTCTAGTTCATAACCAACATTTTCTACACATTCTCTATATTTAGTGTAAGCTTTTTTCTTGTAGCATGGGAATTTGCACTAATAATACCCTAAAACTGCATATTTCTGCTTTTTTCGACTTTCATAGCCCGTAAGTATATAAATGTTTAAGTCTAGATTATTAATACCAGGGAACTTTTTTTTTTGTCATTTAATGTCCTACAAGAACGTGCCCAGACAAATTTTTTATCTCAACCGGTTCAGTAGTTATGGCATTTTTAATGAAAAAAAACAATATTTAAAAATTTTTAAAATTGGAATACGAATTTTTCTAAATAGGAGAATTTTCTCCTCAGTAAATAGGTCATTTTAAGGCCATAAATTCGCAAGGTTAGTTTTTTTGAATCACCCTAATATATATGCATACATACGGTGGCGAAAGTGTTAGTATGGGAGACATTTTGGCAAGTTTTGGTTATTTTTCTTTGTTTAAAAAAAGTTTATTATTTTTATGGAAATATAGCCTTTTATTTTGCACAAGCGGCATAAGTCTCTAAGTATCGTAATAAACTAGTAAAAACCCTTCTACCTTTTGTTGATGAAGTTGAACGAATAACTGACGCGTTTAAATACAAGTAACCGGTCATTTAAGGACGAGAGGAGTGAAGTGACTTATGCCACTTTCAAAAAAAAAATAAAATAAAAATTTCAAGCTTTGTAGAACATTTATAAAATTTTCACGAATTTTTTCAAATGTTCATCAAAATTTTAAATTTTTTGATCAGATTTTTTATAATTTTTATGGGTATGCAGTTTGTTTACGAATTTTCTTCCGTATTTGAATAATGAATATACAATTTATTATCAACGAAGAGTTGATTTACAAATTACGCAATGCAAAAAAACTACTCCTACAAAATAAAATAATAACAAAAACCGTAAAGAAAACATTAAAAAATATCACATGAAAGCTGTTTAGAACATCATTGACATTCTTATCACCATTCCCTAACATTATCAACAGTTAACATATAATCATAAATAATTTCATAGCCTATAACGTACAGTTGTCCACAAAATAATAGGAGTGGGATATTTTAACCTGTTTTGGCTATTTGTCTTTAGTTTATTTAATGTTTCGTGTTTTTTTGTAAAAGCCTAGCTGGTAATACAACAAACACCATATAAATTTATATTTTCAAGTTTGTACAAAAATTATAAAAATTCTGCAAATTTTCACCAAAATTTCAAACTATTTAACCAGAATCTTTAGAAAATATGTTGGTATGCAGTTTTGTAGCCCATTCAATTCTAGTCTGAAGAAGTGCAAGTTTCAAGCTGCTAAAAAATTCCGTTGATTTTTGGCAATTTTTTTTGCTGGCACTGTCCCCATATAAAAGAAAATTGTCGAACATACTTTGTATGGAAAAAACGTGAAACACCTTCAACCGAAAAAATTCTCAAAAATCAACGGAATTTTTTAGCAGCTTGAAACTTGCACTTCTTCAGACTAGAATTGAATGGGCTATAAAACTGCATACCAGAATTTTCTCTGAAGATTCTGATTAAAAAGTTTGATATTTTGGTGAAAATTTACAGAATTTTAATAATTTTTGTACAAAGGTTGAAATCTGAATTTATTCGTTGTTTGTTGTATACCCAGCTTGACTTTTGTATAAAAATAATAAACATTAAATAAACAAAAGACAAATAGCAAAAACTGACCAAAATAACGCACTCCTATTATTTTGTGGACCACTGTACGTCGTACGGTATCGGTCATATCTATAGGCAAGGGCGTAGCCAGGTAGGGGTAGGGGAGGGAGTGGGGAGTAGCATTGGCAACTTTTTCACAAGAAAGTCTGCGTATCAATTGTGTGCTGTTATAACAATGTTCATCTTTGCTTTAATAACAATTGCTAAATATTCTACGTTGCTGGAACCTATAGCACACATTTTGCAAATGAAGATATTAACTAGATCTCATCGCCGCTGGTCAGCATTTTGAAAATATTATGGAATGATCGCAAGAATGCAGAAAGAGGCACTACGTACGGAGTAAATTAAAAAAATCTTGTTTGATTACAGCCGATCTAGGAGTAGAAATTTTTCTACCACGTTTAGCAGGTAAACAAAAAAAAAACAGAAGTAACCCCCATCGGTCAAAGAAAATGGGTACTGGCGACGGTCTATAATAAAACCGTATCTGGATTCACTAACGGCATCTTTACAACTACGCTTTTCCAATGAAAATACTCCAGCTTTTTCGCTGCCTAGATTGCACCCATTGTATTCGATTAAAGCTCTATCCGGAATTGCAGCGGACGACGGTAAAGCGGTCGACGGTTAACCTCTGTCAAAATTAAAACTCACGAAGGCATATGGAATGGCTCATAATTGCGGTGGCAGCGTTTTACCACCGATATTTTTCGGTTGATTTAAATTTACTTATATTTTTACCGTCCAGTTGTTGATCTATTTAAATAGGTGTATTTCTATTTTGAGCACTTTTTCATGCACAACAGCGATCGTCGTAGCGATCGTTTAGTACACTTCGTAGAGTAAAAACCTGTCTCAGAAGCAAAACAGGAGAAGAAAGTCTTTCAGGATTATGCCTCATGAGCGTCCATAGAAAACTCGTTACCGAAAACTGCGAGATGGTTCAGAAGGAAATAAACGAAAGTTTGCTGAAAATGCGAGACGTTTGTTATTAGCGTAAAAATGATTAAATAAAAATATATCAAAAAAATTTACAAATATATTTCGTTTGCCCCCCTTACATCAGCTCTTGACTACGCGCTTGTCTATAGCACCCCATTTCAAAGTTAAATAAAGTTTGTCACTTATGGTTATTTATTTAATTTTAAGAATTGTCAATTAAATCACAGTTCATTCTTTAACAAAACCCATATACTTAAACCAAACTTTAAAACTTTGTAGAAACTTACAAAAAAATGCATAAAATTTTCTACCAAATTTCAAAATTTTTTCTCAGGAGTGCCAGAATTTTTTTGATTATACAATTTTATAGCCCATTCAATTTTAGTGTGGTTGATTTTTTAGAAATCTTTTGCCGAAGCAAATGCGAAAAAAATTCTTAAAAATCGACGGTTCTTTTTGGCCACTTGAAACTTGCACTGGCAAGACCTTTTACTCAAATTGTTCAAATAAATTTAAGATAAAGGTATGCCAACGACTCATTGCATATGATTCCTTTGTATTTTTCATTTTGTTAAAAAAATAATACAATAAACAAAAATTTGACGATTTTTTGGCCGAAATTACGATTTTTTTAGATGACGATTTTGTGAAAATTTGTGGATTTTTTTTAGTTATCTTCAAGGTTTTCTTACAGAATGATCTGTATTTTGATTGAAAATTCTGAAAAATAAATAAATAAACATAAGTGGCAAACAATATCACTTTGTAATAGGGTGCTATAGATATCACCGATACTGTATATTGGAAAGGTAGAGAATTTACCTGCTTGAGCGTTTAGTTTTTCCGACTTTAAATTATATATATAAAAAGTCTCGAAAAATATCTTAACTAGTCCCGAAATGGCCCTGAACAAGTTCCGTCCTTTAAGACTTAAAACTAGTATATGTAATTATAAAGGCTCAGTATAATATTTATAGATGACTTAAACAATTTTTCTCTCTCATAATTACGAGTATTATAAAATGACTTTTATGTATAATTCTTAAAAAAAAAAATTTGACGAAATTTTTAAAACTACACCGTGAAATAATTATTATTCTGGGTCGCTGGTTTTATTTATTAAGCTTAACCCATTATGAAAATAACCAGAATATTAAAAATCTTTCGATCTTAACTGTTCTTTCTACATCGCTTTCTTTCTTTTCTACCTTTTCAGGAATCGTACCTGTGACTTAACAAATTTTACATAGAAAATATATGCACATTCGAATAACTTTAATAATCTCAGAATAAGTGTTTCGTGTTTATTTCGTCCTGCAATGGACGGCTTTAACGTTCCAATGTTGTCCGATAATGGCTATAGTAGTAACAGTAGCAACAACACACCACAAACACATACACATCATCACAAAGATCAAATGCTTAGTGCTGGCAGTGCCCCAGCCACGCCATTCATATACGACCATCCCGCCAGCCATAAAGGAATCAACCAAGTGTCGGTCAGTTTGAAGTCCACCAACGACTATGCCACCTTCACCAATTGCATTCAACAATCCGCGTTGCTCGATCACCGTACAGTCGATGCTAATATCGATGGTGTTTCGCTCAGCAGCCTATGCGACCTGAAATTTCCCAGTTCACCTTCGGGTGATAGTAATTTTAAGAATATTTCACTTATAAATATCGAGGCTAATCAGGTGCTAGTGCCAGCGAAAGGTATCGCTGCAAACGATTTGATTACCGATGGCGTCGGCAATGGCATCGAGCCGACTTTTTCAAATATTTTATATGCCAAGGACGACGTTGTCATAGAAACGAAGGATATGCGCGTCGACTGCGATGCAGCTCAGGTGACACACGTGACGCACTACTTACCCCTGAAAGCCATCAATGATGCTGAGACGAAGTTTCCAAAGGCCACAGTCACGGCCACGGCTGCTGCTGCTGCTGCACCAACGGTGACTACGCTGAATGCCAGTGCAATGGCTGGGGTGCAGACGGTCAGTACAAAGCCGAGTGCTGGGGATGGTGGCGGCAGAAACAACAACAACAACACCAGTGGTCGCATGAAGCGGGGAAATGCTGGTAGTAGAAATGGGCGCACAGCTGCAAATCGCCAACGACAACAGCAGCAGCAGCAGCAGCAACAGCTGTTACAACAACAACAGCAGCAGCAGCAGCTACAAATACAGCCAGCGGAAGCTATAACTCACACTGTAACAACGGCAGGGCGTGGCGACTACTTGTCACCTAGTAGTCTTAACGTTTTCGTGACGGATAACCAGGCGTTGAGTGATTTCCACAACAGTTCAGCTGATAATCGAATCACAACAACAACGTCCACAATAATAACCACTGCCACTGCCAGCAGCAAGAGCATCACAACAAATGCCAATAATAATTTCATTGCCAGCAATCATAGCCAGATTGCCAGCGGTAGCTGCAGCAATGCCGCCAACACCACCAATACCAATAGCACTAATAATAACAGCAATAATAACTGCAACAAAAACAATGTACAAAATATGAACAGTATTGCAACAATGGGGCATAACCGGGCAACAGTTTTGCAGCCAGTTGTCGATGAGACGAAAACGTTGGGCTCACCCACCCAGCAGCAGCCAGGGCAGCAACAACAGCCACGGCGGCCTGCTGCAGTAATCGTATCCACTTTGTCGAAAGGCAGCTGCATTAGCAAAAGCAATAGTGTCAACATAAATATCAATCATGCCAACAACAACAATAGCAATGTAAGTGGCAACAATAGCACAATGTCACCGATTTCTATAGATGCTGCCACAGAGCCAGAGATACAACAGTCACCACAGCAGCAGCAGCAACAGCAGCAGCAGCAACAGCGGCAAAAACAGTTGCAACAAATGCATTCAGCAAATGTTAGCACCGAATGTGATTCACTATCGTCCATGGATATGAGCGATGGTAGTTTTGGTGAGTATTTTTGTTTTAACAAAAATTTATGCATTTTCTTCTATTGTTGTTGGAATATATTTATTTAGAGTTGGCAATATTCTGTTGGTGTTTAGTGATTTTTCAGGTTAATAAAAAAAAACCAAACGAACATAATTATTGTAAAAAATCGCGATACTTCGTCAAAGTGTTAAAAACAAATTAAAAAAAAAATTTTCTCAAATTAAAGAAAAATAAATACACAAATATATAAAATAACTTGCCATAAAAAACTTAATTTTTTAGATGAACTAAATAAGAAAAAATTATAAATGGAGTGTAATTATTCGATAGCTTAAAAATTCCGAAATTTATCGCGACATAGAAAGAATCATTGTGCTCCACCATCAATAAATGTGCTCCAAAGTGCTTAGTCAAGCTTAACACTGGAAACGAAGTTTTTAAAATTTTGGCATAAAATACAACAACTACTAGATAAAACAACCAAACAAGGGTCAGGGTTGAACTTTAATTTAATTTGTTTTTCACATTTTTGCATAAGGCTTTAAAGTAAGAACTGGCCATCGAGTTTTCTTAGCTGAAAAAATCATAAATTTTTGGTTATTACTGAACATAGATTTTTAGTAACTTAAAAGCTGGGCATAAAAATATGTGGGAACACAAAAATTGGACATAAATCTTTGTGAATTTAGAAGTTGGACATAAGTAAATTTTTGAATAGTTAAAACTGTAATATTTTTTATTTTTTTGTAATGTTTTCTACATTACATTACTGGACTTAAATTTTTGGTGACTTAAAATTGGACATTATTTTTCGTAATTCCAGACTAAGGTTGCAAACAGAGTGGAAGCGAAGCCGAAGACGAAGATGAAGACGAAGCCGAAGACGAATTGCTTGCGTTGCGGGCAAGCTGGCGAGTGTACATAGTGGAAGATGAATGATATGAAGATTTGTTTCTAAATAAAACCATTTTTTTAGATAAAATCAAAAGAAAATAAAGAAAAAACAGCAATTCATGAAATAATTTGTATAGGACAACTTTTGGAGAATTTCGCCACTTGTATTATGTGTTACGGCAAGACGGACAGACATTTTTCAAATATACAAGAATGCCAATTAATACGTTTGATTACATTTTGCCAAAAATTTAGCCAATTTCTTGAAAAACGCGTTTTTTCACAATTGCAAACATTTAAATAAATTGTAAACAATTCATCACAGCAAGCGATTCGTCTTTGAAAACAGTACCGCACTGTTTCAAGCTGACCGCTTGCGCAACGTCTTCATCTTCGTCTTCGTCTTTGCTTGCACTGTGATCACTTTCATATGTTTACTACTGCACTGTTTTTCGTCTTCGGCTTCGTCTTCGGCTTCGCTTCCACTCTGTTTGCAACCTAAGGCATACAAATATGGGCATTTAAACGTTGACAAAGTTTTTATTAACTTTATAAACTGAACATCAATTTTTAGTAACTTAAAAGCGGGGCATAAATATATGGTAACATAAAAACTGGATATATATGTTTGGGTATTTAAAAGCTAGACGTAAAATTCTTGGTTAGTTAAAATTGGAAATATTGTCACTAAACCCAATATGTTCATGAAATACCCGTTTTTTTTGCTGCTATCTGGTAAATAACAAGAGGTAGAGAAAAATTGTAAATCACAAAGTTGTAGACCATTTAATTTCCTACAAAACAGCTCTGGAACCCCAAATCGCTAATATCTATAGTTCTTGAGATATTGGGCTTTGAATTGAGGTACTGCCGTTCTGCAGTATGAGTACGGCCGTCATTCTGCTCTAAGATAGGCCACCAAACGATTACAGTCTAGAGAAGTATAGGTCTGACTACTACAGTAAAGGGTGACAATAAATAATATGCACTAAAGTTTTTGTTTCATAAACTTTTTAAACGTAAACAATCCATAAAAAAACAATAAATAACTAGGTTCAAGTGGCCCCCTTGGAGGCGACACAGAAGTCTAAACGTGATTAAAAATTTCGGCCATGGGCGTAGGTTTTGTGGAGACAATTTTTACCATGCTCTAAGCTGCGATTGCTTCAGTTCCTCCAAACTTTTGGTGGCGCTTAGCACATGCTCTGGCCTCAAAAATCAATCACACACTGTATTCCATTTGGTTAAGCTCCGGCGGTCATTCCGCATACGAGCTGAAGTCTGCGTCATTCTCGATTTGTTAACACGTCCTTCCAGTCCTGCTATGCATACGGACTCGAGAACGTCGCGGCGATACACCACCCGATTGTTCTTGCCTTGATCCACGAAAACCAGGGGAGTCCGCTGCTGGCGCAAATTATGCCCAGACCATAACTGACTGCGGATTTGGAGGCATTCGGCAATTGCTGAGGTACCAGCAATCGTTGATAAAGAGAATGTGCTCCCATCGATGATTTGCAGGCTCGACGCTTAAGAGTTCGACATCTTTGGACTCGCACATGCTTATTTTTGTCCGTGAGGAGCTAAACTTTTTGGAGTTTGTACGCCTTGAGGTTTAGGTCCTTTTTAGCTACTTGCCGCACCGATTTACAGTTGATCCGGGTCTCGCGAGCGATTTTTCTCATGGATACTCTCGAATTTCGTTGAACTCGCTTTGGAAGCATTGAAGGGACGCTTTCGTCCTTTTCTGTAACGGTCGTCGAATCGTCGAACTGCGTCTGACACTGTCATTTTTGCAACTCCAAGCAAGTGAACAATTTCACATTTCAGTACAGCTTTTTATCAGGGATTATGCCAAGATACCTAGCAGATTCGCTTAGGTTATGCGTCACACTTTTATGTAAACTAAAATATACTAAAAATTTTTAAGCTCCAGTAATTTTGTAACTAAATTTTCTTTTTACCAGTACATTCTTTCACAATCGCAGCACCTTTGCATGCTAACCAACGCTTTAAATCTTTAACCCAGTTTCTAGTACTCTAAAGCCCTTTATCCTTGAAATGCTTTAAAATCTGACCTTTCCTCAGCGTGAAAGAGAGAAAAGCCTTTAAGTCAGCTTTTTCCAACGCGAAAAACAAAACTAGTAGAAAATAACAAATTTGCTTGCTAGACAAGGTTGCCGTTGCTGGCAGTGATCGGATTTCTACCACATTGTAGTAGATGTGCCACTTTTTTGAGCATATACCACATGTACCACACAAGGTCTGAAATCTACCACATATTCGCGTTTTTGAGTAGCTTTATTATAATTTTCCTAATTTTAAGAGCAAAAATTGACCAACACTAAACACTAACAACAGGTAGAATAGGAGGATAAAATAAATTGTAAAATAGTAAATTTTCTCAATATTCAATTTTTCGACAGGAAACGTGGTTTTATTGTGTTAAATTGCAAAACATATGATTTATAAAAAAGAATTAACAGCGAAAATGTTAAAAAACGGCGATTTTTGTGAAAGTAGTAAATTTCAGTGCATCTAAAGTTTCTAAAGCGCTGTTTACTTTTACTTCAGAATTGTCAAAATTGGCAAATCCCAAGTAGCGGTTTCTGGAACGAGCCACATTTGTTCGCTACATCGTGATGTGATAACAAGAAAACCTGGCAGCACTCCGCAGAAATCTTTCAAAATATGATTCGAAACTGTCAAGGAAGCAAATTCAATCTTGCACTTTCTTATACTAAAATTAATTTTGTTTTAGATTCTAATTAAAATGTTTGCAATTTAGGTGAAACCTTGCAGAATTTTTTTAATTTTTGTACAAAGTTTGATCCAAAACCTGAGATCTACCACATTTTTTTGAAATCTACCACAATTTTTCCAAATTCTACCACACACATTTTTTTTGACAGTCCGATCACTGGTTGCTGCTGCTGCTGTCGCCGGTGCAGTTATTCGCCGCTGCGTATTATGTTTTGGTTTCAAATTCTATGCATTTATCCAATAATAATAGACGTCGCACATATTGAGGACCTTGCAAACGATGCACTTGTAAAAATTGTTATGCTTGCTGCAATAACAACAGCGACAACAATAACAACCACAAAAACAACATGCAATTAATGGTGTGTTGGCCCAATTCAACTTGGGTGGTGGCCTTGCTGTGGCTATTTGATTTGTTAGCGTTGACATTGACCCATTTCCAGGTGTCGCCAGCGACGGCGACGAGTGAGTGAATGAGTGAATAGGTGTGCGTGTGTCTGTTTGCGGCGACGCGCGAAAAGTGTGTCAATGTCAGACGGCGGCGGCGAAGGCATTAAATGCAACTTAGCAATGCAATGCAGTGGCGGAGGCAGCGACTGCAGTAGTTGTGCATGCGAAAGCGAAAGCTAGTTGGCTGGCTGGCTGGCTGGCAAGCTAAGCCGCCCGACTGCTAGGCGTGAAGCCGAGTCGCAGCGCTCATTCTTCTGCTTGCATTTGAAATTTTTTGCTGCTGCTAGCTGCTTGCTTGCATGTCTAAAAGTTTAGTCTGATGAATTGTATGTACAATATGTACAGTATGCATGTACGTGCATAAATGTGTATGAAGCCGTAGCGCTGTGTGCGCGCATATGTACATATATAAATACCGACCAAATGGCCTCCGTTGCAATGCATCCTTGTATTCAATCTCCAATATTAGAAGCGCCGCACTGCACTTGACCTAAATTGAAAGCGTCATGTTCCAATTACGATTCTGAATGAGCGTGCGAGTGTAACAGCAACAGTAGCAGTGTGTGCAAGTGCAAGTGCAAGCGCTAGTGAGCGGTGTTGACGTGCAACAATGCGGTTGCACTAAAAATGAGAAATTATATCTACTAACAAATCAGCGGTTGACGCGCGCTGCCGTAATAGTTAGAACAACAACCGAAATAGTCACGCCGAGTTGTACATACATTGAGTAGATAGCGCGCGCTTGATACACGACAGTAGCGCGCGCGCGGAAGGCGAGCGGTCTCTAGGCGACCTTGTGCCATTTTTGTTTAAATACAACGAATGCGTGCTAAGGATAAATATGCATAGTATGTAAGTATGTGCAGTGCCACGTCGCGCCGCGCGTCTGTCTGAGCGTGAGCGTCAGCAGT